TGCTGGAAACTGTAGTTCCTTAAATGGCCACTTGAGGCTGTCTCTAAAAATGGATGTCCCATTTTATCAGCAAAGACGTTTTCCAACTCAGCCTAGATTAGAAGAAAAAAGAGCTCTTCTTTCTTGGGTTAAAACTGATCTTAAAAACAAGCGCTGCTTTGCTCTGATGCAGGAGTAGCTTCGCTGAAGACGTGGTTCAAACGTCTCTTATGTTTATGTTTTAGCTGAGTAAGGAAATCAATTATTATTAAGAATTTGTCAACAACTTATTTCCAACTGCAAGCCAAGTGCAACCAACCATGAATAATTCATTGCAAGCCTAGTTTAAATTGTTGAAGGCAAATGAACTGAAAGGGCATGTGCCATATGCCATGCATTTAAAAACGGACATCTTTTTAGAGCAGACTGCTGTTCTTGAGAGCTTTTCCTCCACCTTAATATCTTGCAGTGGTAGCCAGAACTCCTCTGTGAGCTTGACTGGTTTGTGCCTAGGTATGAGGCGGTTAACTCTTATAACACCTTGATCCCCTGGAGGAACCAGCTGCTCTCTTGTTTTTTGACTCTCCACAGGCTGTTCGCTCTTTCTCTCTCTCCCAGCCTCCCAGGGGATTTACATGACACCTGCTGAGCTTAAACAGGGAATTGTCTTCTTCTGCAGAGCAACAACAATTTTCCTTCATCCATCTGTTTTAGAAACAGTAATAAAAAAAATCTGATTTTGGCTCTAAACACACCAGAAGTGCTCCCTCAACTGCACGGAGGAGTCTTTTCATTTTGCATCGTGCTAAGATGCTTTTTCATGTCTTGCGTGCATGGAGCCATTTGCTCAAGGTGAAAGTGGAAGCAATAACGGCCTAATAGACGTGAATGCTTGATTCATGTTAAGCTGATAATGCATCAGTGAGTGGATTTTCCTCGGGTACTGTCAATTTGCAGTCATTTCTTTGTACTTCCTCCAGCCCTCTTGTTTTTACGCTCGCTCTGTCATTCACCTTTCCCCGTTGGCAGCTTTGTGATGTTATGAGGGCATCTCTGTCAGGAACCACCTTAACAGGAAAAAAACAACAACTTTGCATCACATTAAAAGAACTCCTTCATCCTTATACACCTCATTGACTATAGAGTTGCTGCTTGATTTGCACCCTTATGCACTCTTGCCTGCCCACATACTCACACAACCTATTTTTGGATCTGTGGCCACATATTGGGATGTATTGAGTCGAGACTGTGGTGGTGGTTGCTCTAACTTATTCTTGTTGTTTATGGAAATTTTTGGCCATTCTTCCAGAAGTAGATTTGTGAGATCAGTTTCCGCTGTAATTCACCCCAAAGGTGTTCTATTGGGTTAAGGGTCAGGACTCTGTACAGGCCAGTCATGTTCTTCTACACCAAACCTGCTCATCCATGTCTTTATGGACCTTGCTTTGTGCACTAGTGGGCAACTTGCAACTCGTGAAAAAGTGGCCTACCATTTCCTAGCTGAGTGCCTTTTGTTCCCCTGTCGCTTCCACTTAGCTACCACTAACACTTGACTGTGTAATATTGACTAGTGAGGCAATGTCACGACTAGAGTTGTTGCGCAGGTGGCATCCTATCATGCCACAACGCTGGAATTCACTGAGCTCCTAAGAGCGACCCATTCTTTCACAAATGGATGTAGAAGGAGTCTGCATGCCTACAGTAGGTGCTTGATTTCATACACCTGTGGCCATGCATGCGATTGGAACACTTGAAGTCAATGATTTGGATGAGTAATTGAATACTTGGTAATATAATGTATAATAAAAACCATTCCACTTCACGAGTAATGGAATGAGACTGATTTCTTTAGGGACAATAGCTAAACTGTATGAATATAAACTAGTACACATCTTCCCGTGTAAATCAAAACACCTAGTTTACGTGCTGCTGTATTTTATGTAATTTTCTCCCTGCTTTGCTGTCTACACTCTCAAATAGAAGTTAAATATCTCAAAAACCATTACCTGGGTTGTCTTCCCTTCAAGGTAGTATCCTTAGACAGTGCTGCTTCCAGTATTGCTGCCATTGCAAGTGGTCCCATTCAGACCACTTGCAAGTGTTTGATCTCCGCTGTATCACAACAGTGACCCTTCAACTTGAATTTCAGTTTGGTGAAGAGGATGAAGTCACAGGGAGTCAAATCTGGCAAGCTCCAAATAGCTCCTACATTTTTTATTGCCCTGTGCGCTGCAAGGTAATGGCACGATGGCACGCACAACCGTTTAGGTGATTTGAGACCAGTGTCTTACCTCCAACGCTTCAGGAAATTGCAGTAGAACTCTGCCCTGACAGTCTGATCCTGAAAGATGAATTCACAGTACACGTCCTTGTGAATGTGGAAAAGGAAAAAAAAAAAACAAGCTCACTCCTGGTCATGCTCCTGAACTCATGCGGCGTCTTCTTTCATTGAAAACTGCTGTTTAGTCTCTGGTTCATAACTAGACATCCAGCTCTGCTTCAAGAAACGCATGCAAAAAGACGCATTTCTTATTGCTGATAAACCATTAAAAAAACCAAACCCTTTTTTACATTGTGGGCAGTTTTAGAAAATGGAATATTACACATATGGGATTTTATATCAGTGTCAACATCAGTGTGCTGTAAAGCTTTACAAAGATTCAATTTGAAACAGAGAATAAATGTCATTGCCAAGATGGCACGTATGACGTGACCAGAAATGAACAAATTGCTATGGGTTTCTAAACACAGAGTAAACAAACAGCAAATTAATTAGTAGGAATACTGTTCTGTGGGAGTGAGACAGCACTGCGTTTGGCTGAAGCATATTATTTAGTTTCGCCACATGGTTTCTGATGGTGGAAGATGGTCATTTCCAAGCCATCTGGATGCTATAAGCCAAGGAAGACGATGTGGCAGAGATTTGCTTTTAATCACTAATAGGCATATAAAAACCTATGTAGTGCACTGTACAGCAGATGGGGGGCGTTGCAGGACCTGTGAATCTGAAGGGAAAACCAGGGATTTCATTGCGATCGGTCCCCACAGCCAAAGCTGTGCTCCAACAGTCGCTCTCCCTCACTCGCAGCATCACACACTTCCCTTCCCCTCCGCTTTGCCACCGTCTCTCACACACACACACACTCTCTCTCTTTGCTTCAGTGTTTCTCAACCACTCATTCTGCTGCGCTCGCCCGTGTCATCTCTCCTCTGTGGAGTGCAGAGAGAGGTGTTTCAGCTCGCGGGCTGACTGGCAGTTGCTGGACTGGGCAAACAGAGACAGAGTTGAGGACCTGAGGGACAGGACAGTACTGCTTGAGGGGGGGGATTCCATCGGGAGAGATACAGCGCAAGATTACCTCCAGTGGAGATTATTTCCATCACAAAACCTGTGGAAAGAGGACTGTGACTCGCTCTGTGTAGTGGATGCACAACCGCTGCCTGTGGAAGAGGTGCCATTCACTGTTTTAATTTTTGTGCTTTTGTGTGTATGTGTGTGTGTATGTGTCACCTTTTCAGTATGCAGATTCACCGGCTTGCCTTCTTTTCTTATGCAAATGTAAATTTGCTGGTTGTACTGCTCTACACCTTTGACAGAGACTCAGATGGAGCCAGTCTCTGTATTTCAGGTTTGCATGATTATAATGCAACGCTGCATGAAATAGTTTGGGATTTATGCATCTTGCTGTATTTGTGTGTGTGTGTGTTTGTATTTGTGTGTGCGTGTGTGTGTGTAGTTCAAGAACACAGAAGTGAAGAACCAGAATGTGCTGAATAATTGATCCCCAGTATGACAGAAAACTTCCAAACTGGGTTATTCTTGAATTAATGTGCCACTCATTATATTTGCTGCTATTTCACCCACCTTCCCTCTGAGCTCGTTTACAGTCGATTGTGTGGATACCCCCGTCTCTACATGTGTGCACTGGTGATATGCATGCTCTCCAACATATCATGCGTGGATGTCGTTGCCTCGGGAGCACACGGGGGGAAAGAAGGGGGCAGCTAAGTGGTATGTGGCCCTGTGCCAAGTTGCTGCTTCAAACTGGATGTTGAAGGTTAGTCAAATCCACTCGGTCTGCTTCTTTGCTTCTATGCAGAGGAGTAACAAACATGACAAGTATGTTGGCTAAAGCGACACCGTGAGGAATCCCTTAAGTAACATCAGCCGACCATTCCCCCTCCTCTACTTAGCCGTCCTGTCTTGCCTCCATTTCAAATGTGATTATACGAGTGTGTGGCAGAGTAGATAGATGGAGAATTTGTTGCAGAAGGAGGAGGTGGAGGTAAAGCTTGTTTTAGTTTGCTACTTTCCACCCCCCACCCCTGCCACGGGATTTGCCTTTGCCTTCCTTCCCGCTTATCCCTTACCTCCATTTGTCTGTGGTCCCTTGATCACTTTTTAACCCCCTCAGTCCTGCTGAGCCAGCAGGATTCACTGGTTTTAAATTGAAGTCCATTTACAGAGCTGGGATTGCTAGAGAGACACAGAGAAAAGAAAAGAAGGGGGAGGTAACTCAGGTGAGGGCAAATAAGAGGGAGTAAAAACAGCCCCTCGGGGAGTTGGTGGCTGATTTATGTGTAGACATATCTCCACACGTGTTTGGCCACAGCTCCAATTAATACCTCCGCCAATCCGTGGCCGCGCTTGACAAATGCTGGATCTGTGAGTGCCGAGTGTGTTCATTAGTGTTTGGATTGTAGGATTTTCAGCGAATTTAAATTGTTTACTGTGGTCTCGGGAGATTCTGGGTCATTTGATGCTGCAGTGTTTGGATCTTCCTCTGCTTGTTGTTGAGGTTTGCACGAAAAGAAAAAAAAAAACGTGTGAGGCAAGCAATTTTCCTTGCCTGGATAATTCACAAACACATCCAGCTGTCCCCATTTCTGATCAAAGGCTGATTAGGCTCTTTCCTTTTATAACTTGACTGGAACAAATTTTGGTATCAGTCTTAGAGCAGTTGCATTTATTTGAATTTGGTGCTTTCGATGATTGATTATTGACCTTTGTGTTCCCCCAGGGGGCGTGATAGACAAGGACCTGCGCCACTACCTCAACCTGCGTTTCCAGAAAGGCTCAGTGGACCACGAGCTGCAGCAGATCATCCGGGACAACCTCTACCTCCGTACTGTCCCCTGTGAGTTACCTTGTGCTCACCTGACTTCCCTTTGTCCATCCTTGTTCCCTTCACTCACTTCCTTGAGTGAGACACTTACATTCAGTGCTTTGCCAAGGGTAGATCATCAATAAAGCCAAGTGTGCAATTTCAAAGGGGGCAGTAAAAGCTCCAGGTTCGCTCTGTGACAGTTTGAATGTGGTAAGTTGCCAAAAAAACAAGACAGAAATGAGTGTTTGGCTCACATCTGCAGTTCTCTTTTGGCCACATTGGACCTTGCCTGACATAGGATGACCATAGATCCACCTTGTCAGTTCAGCTGTGTAACAGAGCTGTAAGTAGGCCTAATGTCTGCATGTGGATCTCCAGTGTCCCACACTGTTCAATAGCATCTTTCATTGCCCTCTACATGGTGTTTACCCACTTTTTGTGACGAGGTTTCAGACCACAGTGATGTCACTGATGACATCAAGGTTAAGCATGTCCTGTAAATTAATTAAAGAGAGAAAAAAATCAGATGACAAGCAGACTAGTCTCACAATATCAAAATATTCAAAACTTGAGCCCAGGATGACGTATGTAAGAGCAATTTAAAGCCAATAATCACATTGTTCAGTGATCAAATCACATTGTAAATTTTGTTGAAAATTGTGACATATTGCATAATGTGTGCATAATATTGCAAACCTATGACGTCAGGTTGGTTTCCAAGTGTTGCTGAACTTAGCACCACTAGCACCAACGGCATTCTTTTCCTAATTCCTTTTTTCTTTTTCTTTTGATTGTCCACGCACCTCATCAAACCATGTTTACACGTTGCTCTCCTTCAGAGGTATATGCCAGGTTATTTGTCAGTTGTTGTAGATTAACAAAATATGAGACTACATCCACATGTACAAACACGGGGTTTTTTTTTTTAAGATGGAGATTTTCACATAAAGACACTAAGAGCACTGTCAAGAGCAACATGTGGTGATATAACCCTAACTGTATGAATTGTTAGCCAATCTGAAGGCTGGAGGTGATAGCAATGTGCACAATTTAACATTAAAAAAAAGGAGATAAAGGTGCACACCTTTGACTTTGCAAGACAAAAATTCCTTTTCCTCATCGAAACACAGAAGTATTTTTTCAAAAGCTTTGATTTTAGTGGCCCGAAACACCATGAAAGACCAGAGCACATAGAAAAGCTCACTTTACCAAAATACCTGTGCGTGTGTGTACATATGGATTGAATACTTTGTTTAGCTTGCTAACAGTTCTGTTGTCAACTAGAGACAGCAGCAATGTTTACCCTTCAAGTGGAGTGAGTGGAGCCATTTATATGCCTAATCCCTAAACTTTTTTGTATAAAACTCACTGAAAGCCACAACAACCAATTATATAATAACAACAGGTTTGCCTTCTCTCACTTTGCGTTAATGATTCAAAATGCTTTCACATCTTTGGCAGCTGTGCAGTCTGTTGTGTTTTTTTCAAAAACTCAAGAGCAATGGACTGAATAGATCTAATGCTGAGGTCAAGTTCAACATATTACCACATTTTCAGGCAATTTTATACATACCCGCTGACAGAGAGCAAGCCTGAGGGCAGGCAGTACTCTTGCAGGTGGTTGGTTTCTGGAGCTGCAGAAAATGTAACAAACTAATAGGTTGTTGTGTATAGTCCGCCGCGTACGTTGTCTAGTGCTTGAATGCAGCAGAACTCATACACATGCAGAGAGGGTGGGAGGAACAGGGGGCCAACAGGGGCATCCTGACAGGTCGATCCAGCTTCTTGCTTCGCGTGAACTGTTTCCCCTCTGAGTATTTTTCAAGCGCGGTATGTGCTGAATATACTGAAGTTTCCTTCTGATGTGAGTACGTGATGTGATATTTTCTTTCCCTGTTTGCCATGTCCCTTTGCTTTCAGCCCCAAATCCCCCAAATATCTATCTGTGCGGTGATCGATTGAGCTGCTGGAGTGTTAGTTTAGCTGGAATCAGCCTTGTCTGGAAGTTCGACTCTTTAAAATCAAATGTTGACTGCAGCTCTGTCTCTAATTAGCTGCATTAACTGCCTCACAAGAACACAGAGCTGCAACCAAGTGCTCTGTAGACAATCAAAGATAAGATTTGGAGGGCTTTAAGCTATTGATACTTGGTGTTCTTGGTTCAGGATAGCTTTTTAAACTGAATGCTTATCTAAGTCTTAAATATTGTATGCTGGAAGACATTTTCTTTTATCAGGTTATCGCACAATGTTATATGTGCTAGGGCTAAGAAAACACAATATTTAGTAAGTATTATTCTGATTCCTGTTTTCTTTTTGTTTCCTGGATGTTCAGCTGTCCATTAAAGGACTGTGATATTAAAGGATGTTTGTCTGTAAACTCTTATCTGTGCACAATGTTTGTTAGCCTAGCTGTGCATTTAGACCCAGCTGTCTAGTGGCTAACTCCCCCCTGAATCCCCTAATGGAGGTGCATTCTTCAAGCCTAGGTGCAGGCAAATATCACTGGAACCACTTTTATGTCTCCCTGACTGCACAGAATGCAGCAGGAGAAACAAAAAGAGACCTATTTATATTACAATACAAGCATCATTTTCTCTGATAACCACTCATAGAGCCACTGCCAGTGAGGCAGTGAAGATAGAGAAGAGGTGAACAGTAAAGGCTGAGAACAAATGGAGGAACAAATGGAGGGAAAGAAATACAAAAAGGAACGGGGGAAAGGGGATGAAGCTTGATGATAGGGACACGGGCTATATACACATAACCACATAGGGAAATTGACTACATATACAGGGCGAGGGAGAGAGAGGGTGGCAAAGAGAGGTTAACTGGTGCATTAATGAAGGTTTAACAATGGGCTTTAGTGCTGCTGACAGGAAGAGGGCTTAGTCATGACTGAACTAGGCTTTTTATATCTGGATGCATAGATGTGTTCTTTTTTTAGATATGGAAAACATATGTTATTGAGAAGAAACAATGCACTATGACTGCGAAGCAATCAACATGGACAAGACACATCGGGAGTTGGTCTTCAACTGGAGTGTATTTCAACCAGATTGATTTGTACTTTATTTTCTTATGAGAAAAATCCTTCCAACAGTCTCAAATGTCCTGTGTACGCATCTGTTTTCAAAAAAAATTGGGATGCTGTGTGAAATGGATTAGCTAAGAATAACCTAGCTAATAACATAGTTGCAAAGACTTTAGTGATATTGTCTCATACAGTCATATCATTAAACAATTCGTGAAGCCAAAGTAATCTGTAGGCAGAAGATAAGGCTGAAAACCAATACTGAAAGCCTCTCAAGTGGCACTGCATTAGAAAATCACTGCATGGGCCGAGGAACAGTTCTGAAAACTCAGTTTGTCTCAAATGTATCCTAAGTCTCTACCAAGGAAAAAAACATATGCTGTATAATATAAACTAGATCCAGAAACACTATGCCACCTTCTCTGGCCAGAGAGAGGACGACTGGAAAACTGTCATGTGGTCTGATGATTGAACGTTGTCTTCCAATCCTCCAAGTCCAGAGTGGCTTTAGTAGTAGGTTGTAACTTGCACATCTGTGAAGGCACCGTTAATACTCAGTGATATCTACAAGTTTTAGAGCAACATGTGCTGCCATTCAGACAATATTTTAAGGTTAAGCGATGCAAGATTATTTTATTGGAAAAAAACAACAACAACAAGTGTCCCTTTGCGACTAAGCACCTGAAATCTTATCCATGGTAAAGAATGGGAAGACATTTCCCCTTCAAACAAGTTATTTCAGATTCCAAATAGCAGAAAGTTTAAAGTGAAGAGATGAATCAGGCATAAATGAGCTTATTTTTCTAAAGACTAAATTTCTCTTTTATGTTTTTATACTGGCACCGTTTAGTTGCTTAGCGGTGTACTGGTTAATACAAATCCAGCCTCGGCACGTCACAAGCTAGTGTACTCCCAGTGCCTGTCCAAAGCCCAGAAAAATGAGAGGATCCTAAATCAAACAAGCAGATCCGTTCATTTTGGCAACTCCTATGGAATAACAGAGCATACTTTGTGCTTGTACTATTTCTAGTAAATAATGGGATTAAAAGACAAGCAAATCATTGGTTTGTGTTTTTATTCATATTTACACACTGTGCAAACCTTTTTTTTAAGGATACTGATAATATGCCAGGTTAAAACTGAGCATTTGACTTAAATGAGCTAATTGTGGACAAACCACTGGGAGATAGTAAAGCCCCCTCTCTCAAACTGATAAAAAAAAAAGAGTTGCACTGAAGACTCCCAAGATGTGTGATGAATCTAAAGGAGGTTGAGGGGTGAGAGAGTAAAGGCATGATGTGAAGTAGTTCATCATCACAATTCACACGTAACCCTTGAGTGGTAAAGAAAGGACATTTTTCGTGGGGATGGAGGCTGACGGGCAGACAGTAGGAGACTTACTGCCATTCACACCAATCGTGAGGCTTGGATGGAGTCGGCGAGGGCAGCTAAGGCTGTGCCAGCTCTTAGACAAATTGCCTGGTTGAAATCCAAGGTCAGAGCGTTAATAGCCTGAGCCCATGTGAAATCAGGCCCATCTTCTGGTAATCCATATAGATTTGATGGGAGGGATAGAAAGTGGAGTGAAGCAAGGTGTGTGCAGACTAGTCATGAGACCTAAGTGTGCTGTATTGGCTGAATTATTTAGGTAAGACTGAATTGAAAGAACACAACAATGGAGTAAATATATATTTTTAAACAACAGAGTGACTCCTGACTGTGCTTTCATTTAATAACTGAGCTGAGCAGAAAGTTATTTGAAAGATGCTGTAAATATTTGAACTAATTTACAAGTGTTTAGATATTTAGAGTAAATAACTTGAAGGTCAACTGAAAGATTAAAAAAATACAAATGTAACTCTTGTTTCCCCATCGAATACCAAATCAAATATAAATATGCACAGTGCCTCAGTTACAGGGAAACAAAAATGTGTTAAAAATATCAAGGTCATCAGGATAATATGACTCATTTCCCAGACGCCACTGAGTCTTTCATG